TTTTTTGTGGAACCAGGGATTGAACTCAGGCCCTTGTGCTTGCCAGGGAAGCGCTTATTCCACTGAGCCATCTCCCCGCCCCCCGAGTCTACTATTCTTAAACACATCCAAAAATAACAACAAAAAAGTTCTTAGATATGTAAAGCAGGAAGAAATTTAACCCATGAAGAAAAGCATTAATTCAGTATGCAGGCCCAGGGTAATAGTACAGTGGAACAAGTGCTTGCCTGGCAAGCACAAGGTACTGAGTTTAATCCCTGGTACCACCAAAAAATAACCAACCAACCAACCAAACAAACAAACAAACAAACAAAAAAACCCAAAGTAAACTGGGCATGGTGGTGCACTCCTATAATCTCAGCACTTGGGAGACTGAGGCAGGAAGATTGCCGCAAATTCAAGGTCAGCCTGGGCTATACAGTGAGCTCAATGGCAGCCTGAACTACATACTACCCCAAGAAAAAGAAAATTGGGAGGGCAGCAGGCCAGGGATATAGCTCAGCAGAACAGCGAGGTCCTATCTAGCAAGCTTGAGATCCTGAGTTTGATTCCCAGTACCACAAACACAAAAGTAATAAAAGAAGACCCAGGGAGCCAGGGAGATGGCTCAGTAGAATAAGTGCTTCCCTGGCAAGCGCAAGGGCCTGAGTTCAATCCCTGGTTCCGCCAAGAAAAAAAAAAAAAAAAAAGACGACCCAGGGGTCAGGTATACAGCTCAGCAGCCTAAGGTCCTGAGTTTGATCTCTAGCATATGAAAAAAAGTATCTATCATGTGAAAACCTTATTTTATTTTGGTTTTTTAAGACAGAGTCTCGATACGTATGCCAGGCAGGCTTTGAACTCATTGTGTACCAGACTGGCCTCAAACTATCAGCCATCCTCCTGCCTCGGCCTCCTGAGTGCGGGGATGACAGGCATACACCACCTTGCCTGGCCCTTTTCACCTTTTCTATATTCTTTCATATACTTGTTTTTTTTTTTTTTTTTTTTACCATTTTTCATGCACTTATTTACCATTTCTCTCTTGTGCATTGAGAAGTGTAAATTCATCTAAGTTGCTTATAACCTCTCAGTTCTAGTCAACCACCATGTTTTAGTCCTGTTTTCTCTGTCCTCATTTTTAAGGCTATTGGCATTTTAAAATCTTTATACTACAGCGTTTGTGGTGGTGTGTATCTGTAATCTCAGCATGTGAAGGGATTACACGAGGATCATTGACACAAATTTAAGTTCAGCCTGGGTTACATAAACAAGTTCAAAACTAGCCTGCACTGCATAGTAAGACCCTGGCTCAAAAAAGAAAAGATATAAACAGATAAGAAATATAAACTAAAAAAGATTTAAGTAGAAATGCCCAATTTATTACTTTTCTTCATGGGTTAAATTTCCTCCTGTTTTGCATATCTAAGAACTTTTTTGTTGTTATTGGCTGGATGTTTTTAAGAATGAAAGACTCGGGGGCTGGGGAGATGGCTCAGTGGAATAAGCACTTCCCTGGCAAACACAAGGGCTTAAGTTCAATCTCTGGTTCCGCAAAAGTAGATTTTAAGTAGAGTGTAGCCTGTATCAGGCTAGTCTCAAGTAAGATGGGTAGGGTGGCACATCTCTGTAATCCCGGCTACTTGGAAGGCTGAGGCAGGAGGATCATAAGTTAGAGGTGAGCCTAGGCAATATAGCAAGACACTCTCAAAGGAAAAAGAAAATCTCAGAGCAGAATAGATATAACAAAAAAATGTGAATTTAAGAAATATTAAATAGAAATTATTCAAAAAAGGGACTAAAAAATAGAGCACTCAGGAGCAATGGTATAAACCAGGCATGGTAAAGCATGCCTGGAAACCCAGCACTGTGGGAGGCTGAGGGAGAAGGATTGCAAATTCAAGCCCAGCCTGGGCAGCTTAGTTAGACCTTGTCTCAAAGCAAAAAGGGCTGGAATGTAGCTCAGTACAAAGACCCTGGGCTCAATATCCAGTACCACAATAAAAACAAAAGAAAAAAAGAACTCTAGTTTTTATTTATCTTAAAATTTTTTTAAGATAGGGTCTCATGAAGTTCAGGCTTGGCCTTCAACTCACTACTTCACCCAGGCCACTCTCAAAATCACAATGATCCTCATGCATCAGCCATCCAAGTACTGAGATCACAGGTATGCACCACTAGCCCAGCTAAAAAAAGAAATATGGTACAAATGGGCAGTGTGTCATTTGCTTGGTCATATTATACTTAAAGTTCAAAGTAAAAAGAGTCAAAGAAAAAGCACAGATGGGGCTAGACATGTAAGCGCAGGGGGAGACTACTCGCATAGCACGTGCCAGGCACTGTGTTCCACCCCCAGTCCCACCACCACCATCAATAACCAAAAAGGTCTGGATTAACATCAAGCATACGAAAACTAAACCAAAGAAACCTTGGGTGGCCCTATCAGTATCAGGCAAAATATAGTCTGAGGAAGGAATATCAACAGAAATAATGGGTCATAACAGGATGACCTCATCTGATACAGTGAACAATTTAAAATATGCACTAGAGTGGAAGACCCAATATTATTATGGACTACTGGACTCTTAGAATATTTTGCTGAGTTAACACACCTATAATATTCAATTAACGGAACTAAACAAAAAAAGGGATACAGATGAATGTCCATTTTGTATCTGTGTGTTCAAAATGGTTAGGATAAATATATAGTTACATTCTCTTAATGAACAGAGGAATTTGTTGTAATAGTGGTTTTTTTTGTTTTTGGCAGAACCGAGGATTGAACTCAGGCCCTTGTATTCCCAAGCAAGCGCTTATTCTACTGAGCTATCTCCCCGGCCCCTCTAATACTGTTTGTAAATAGGATATCATGTCTGCATCTTGTACAGCAATTAACCCCTTGGAAGAATGTATGCAATGTGTTAATTATTGAAACTGTCCTACCAATTTGGTTTGAAACTGTCTCACTGCTATTTGTTTCTCAATAAAATTATGGGGAAAAAATAAAAATAAAATATGCATCAGAATATCTTAAATAGCTGGGGATATAGCTAAATGGCATAAGCGCCTGCCTCGCAAGTGCAAGGTCCTAAGTCCGATCTCTTAATGAACAGAGGAATTTGTTCTAATAGTGGTTTTTTTTTTTTTTTTTTTTTTGGTGGAACTGAGGATTGAACTCAGGCCCTTGTGATTCCCAAGCAAGCGCTTATTCTACTGAGCTATCTCCTCCCTGGCTACAAAACCTCTCTCCAGTATTGCAAAATAGCTTAAATACCATCAAAATGCACAAGGTAGAAATTCAAAAAATTAAAAGTATAAAAAGTATATCCTGGGCCAGGGAAATGGCTCAGCGGAATTAAGCCCTTCCCTGCCAAGAGCAAGGGCCTGAGTTCAATCCCCAGTTCCACCAAAAAAAAAAAAAAAGTATATCTACAGTTATGGGAGTTTCTTGTTTTGGTGGTATTGGGGGGCCTTATGTAGAAGGACTAGGGGGTTTAATACTTCTCAGTAATTGGTAAACAAAAGTAATCAGTAATAAAATCTAACACTGCAATTGGATATTTGAATGGGAAAAAAATTTACCCACTTATATACCACATATAAAAATATTTGTTCAAAATGGATCACAGGTTCTGAAAAAAAAAAAAAAATCTACAGAACCTCTTATGGGGGCTGAGGAGATGGCTCAGTGGAATAAGCACTTCCCTGGCAACCACAAGGGCCTGAGTTCAATCCCTGGTTCTGGAAAAAAAAAAAAAAAAATCTACAAAATGGATCACAAAAAGTGTTAAAACTAAACTAAAAACAAAGGACTGGCCAGATAGCTCAGCAGATTAAAGCACCTGTTTAGGCAGACGCAGGGCCTGGGGTTCCATCCCCAGAGTACCTACCCAAGGGCATGTTGACAGGGCCACTGAGACTGGGCGTGGTACTACGCACCTGTAATCCCAGGGCTCCGTAGGCTGAAAATAAGAGGATCACTGAGAGTCTGATCTATATAGTGAGACCCTGTAGACCCTGTACTAATTAAAAAACAAATAAAATGAAGAAAAAAACTAAAAACAAGATCTCAAAATAATACAGGAAAAATTTTGTGACCTTGGTCTAGGTGGGCGGATTTTGCTGGGAAAAATGGAATGAACCATCAGGCTAGGTACAGCTCAGTGGCAGGGTGCTAGCCTAGCATGCACGAGAATGGCCACAGAAACCCCAACACTTGGCTAGCGATGTACATCAGTGGGAGGACACTTGCCTAA